CAAGTGCAACAAGCTTGCACATGTCTGCAGCATGGCGTTGCAGCTCGTGCCTGCGCCGGCACGACTAAAGGCAACGAGTACCTTAACGCAACAGGTGAACAGCACCACAAACCCAAGGTGCATGGGGAACCGGGTCCCATGCTCGCTGTGTGTCTGCGTCGCGGCCAGGACGCCATCCTACAAGACCGGATCTGCATCCAAGGCGACGCTACGGCAAAGAGCAGACACCTGGGTGACGACATAGGAGAGGATGGGGCAGCCGCCTGGCATTCGGCCCCAACAGGCCCAAACACTGCCCAAAGCCTGGAGCGGCCCCAAGCCCAGAGAAGAAGCCCTACGAGTAGGACTCCATAAATTCCTAAAGGTCTTGTCGGGACACCGTCCGCGATGGGTGAAGACCACTCCACGGTCACGCCCAATGTGCTCCTCTGAGTCTCTTGGGGTATGGGCTTGCAGCTTTTAGGACTTTTAGGGCTTTTCGGGCTTCGGGTAGTTAGACGTAGTTCGGGTGGAGGCAAAGGTTGCCTCACGGCTGAGTTTCTTTGTAAAGTGCGCCGCAGCAGAAACGTGTGAACTTGGGCACCGGCCGCGACTTCACGGTGAAGTTGCTGGGCATCGACGGCCTCAGGTAGGAACCGAAAAGCCCGCGTTGTTGACCCGGATTAAGCTTCCAGCAACATGACCATGCTGCTGACGACAAACCCGTTATGTTGAAACCGCAGAAGCGAACCGGAACTGCGAGACCGAACCGCCAGGAAGGGGAGAACTGCACAGAAAATTAAAGCGCGCAAAATGCCAACCGAACGCAACACGAGCTATGTTGGGCTTGCGGGCTTCGTTTTGGCTTCAGTTGGACTGGAACTACAGGCAACCTTGAACGAATTCCGGCAATTTCCTGACATGTGCGAAGAGCATGCCATTCTGCATATGTGTATTGACATCTGTTAATATTTACCAGGCGAGATGAATTCTCGAACCGTGGTTATCGGGTATCGGTTCTCAAGTCCAATGCTGCGGAGAACGTTTGCTTTGCAGGGCTCCCCGCAGCACGCAGGCCGCTGCCTCCCTCGCGGCACTGCGCCAGCCCTCACCTGCAGATCTTAAGAGACGCAGGCCAGGCCAGGCAGGCGCCACACAGGCTCGAGTCGGGCTCGCGGAAGCGGGGGCCCAGGCCGTTGTGGTTGACTGCAGAGACGCGGAAGTAGTAGACGGTGCCGGTGGTGAGCATCGCCTAGATGCAGGGCAGGCTCCGACAAGGCTAAGGCTGTGGCCATGCCATGCCTGGCGTGGCCTGGCCTTCGTGTAGGCGGTATCTGGGCCGTTGTAGACTTCCTGGTAGACCTAGGAGGCGGAAATGGCGGAAAGAACGTTGCAGAAGGCAGAGAGATGCAAATCCGCTCGAAGCAGCCGGGTGCCATACGCCACCGTCGAGCGGACCGGACATGAAGAGCCGGTAGCTCCTCGGCACACCCGAAACAGAAAGTAGCTCTCTCTGTCTCTCTCCCTCCCTCTTGCTCGCTTGCTTGCTTCTCTCATCTCTCTCTTGCTCTCTCTGTCTCGCAGCGGCCGAGCCGCAGGATCTGCGAACCGAGAGCCGAAGGTGGAGCCCACCTCAAGAAGTTGCCGCTAGCCGCTAGTGACCCGCAGGAAGCTCCGGCTGCTGGGGGTGCGGGCTCCACGGTCAGGGAGGTCAGCGCCCTCGTGGCGATGACCGGCAGCCCGGGTGCTGCTGGAGCATCTCAGCCGCGGCAGGGGGCAAAATGCGCGGAGGGCAGCACTCTGCGGAAGAGGCCGCTCTCTCTGCGCGCTCTGCTCTGCTGTGCAGAGGCTCCCGGCTGCCGGCTCGGATCTCGGCCGAGGCCGGGGATGGCTGCCTCGGCAGGAGCGGCCGGCGGAAAGAGCGAAGGGAGGAGATCCAGATCCATATCAAAATCTGACAGAGGAGTCTCAAGCAGAGCCGAGCCCCCCCGCCCGACGCCGATGAAGTTCACGGCCCTGACGTGGTAGACGTAGTCTTGGCCCGACTGCACCTCAGGGCGAGAAAAAAGAGTTCCAAGCCAGGAGCTTTGAAACCTCTGACCGCCTGCAAGTCTCGGAACTGCCGTGCCAAAGGGTCCTAGCACTGTCGGGCTGATGGAGTCTCTTTGAAACTCTCGGTCGCTCTGATCTGCCATGTGCTCTGCCATGTCTCCTCCAGTGCCTCGAGCAGGGGAACCGTGATGTCCACGCCTTGCCACACCCCATCCTGCGAAGCTTATGGCAGAGCAGCCCGGAGCAACTCTGTCCCATCTCGATTCTTGCAAGACGATGGCGGCCGTTTCACACGTTCACCTGTTGTGACATGTTCGTTCCAGACTCCAGTGTCGATCTCACCCTCGTCCATCAAGCGACGGGTGCCCACCGTGAAGATCCAAAAAAGCCGTGATTCCTTTGCGAGGCCCTGGCCACTGCGCTTATCGAGGTCGCCGTAGCCTCGACATAGACGACCGCGCGGTATGTCTGTCCTGGCTTCCGGGTGAGTGGACACGAAAGGCGCGTGAGGGTTTGAGAGCCGGATGCGCCTGGCACCAGGTCGCAGTCCGTGAACAGCATGCTCTGCCTGCAGCCATCTCACACAGTCCAAGCCCAGGCCAGGCCGCAGACCGCAGGCCGCAGGCCGCAGGCCACAGGCCGCCTGGCATTGTCGATGGCGACTTCCAACGGCTTGCAGCCTGTCAGCGGTTTTCGCGATGAGTACTTTTTCCGTTATGAGATACGGTGGCCGACCAGCGCCGCCGACGGAGTTCTGCGCGAGCTTGGCCTTCGCGGCACGTGAACGCCACACACGGCCACGGGTTCGTCAAAGGCCTTTCAGCCTCGCCTCTTTGCTCGAGGCGATGCTGGCGGAGCCCACCTGGAACTCTGCGGGTCCGGAACTTTCACGCTCACGCTCACGCAATGGAGGCCCGGGCCTCGAGAATGAAGCCCCAAGCCATGCCACTGGCAGCTTGGGCGTTGAAGCTCAGCGTCACCTGCCCAAACAACGACAGTACCCATACTCCAGACTCCTATAAGATCACGTCAACACAAAATCAAAAAGGCATCGGCAACTGAGTGTCTGGCTCCATCTGAGGTGACGTTTCCCAGCACAGACCTGTCGCCAATTCAACAGAAGCTGCAAGAACTTCCTGGCAATCCCTGAATCTTGGCATGTCACGGGGTCTCCACGAAGTAGTTGCTCACGGTCGAGGGCACGATCTGGACTTTTCGGTTTGGAAACTCTCACCCTCACACCCTTCGTGCACGGGAGCCGGACCAGCTGAACACTCGACAACTGGCCGTCGTCCATCCCCGCCATGTCCTGGCTCTGCTCCACTCTGCTCCGCTCTCCGCTTCGTCTCCGCTTCAACGCGGGCCTCGACGTAGAGCACCACACTGTAGTCGACCAGTGCCGTCAAGCCTGTGGGCTGCGCATCTCTCCCTTCGTTTCCGCCGGACTCTGCGCTGGCACACCGAGGCTCTGACTGCATCCGGACAGTGTCCAGTAGAGGGCGCTCATCTGGGATCGACGCATGCACATTGCATGAAAGAATCTGGGCTGTCCTGTGACTGAAATCTGGACTCGGCTCTACTCGCAGAGCCAACACTCTGAATGGCATACGGCATACGAAGTCCAAAGTTCAACCAACACAGCGGTGCAAGAGTCCGTCATTCCGGACGCAGGGCTCACTGAATACCCCTTGTACAAACACAACCACAATCCCCTCCCAGTCTCAGGCGACGACCCCGACATTTACATCGTCCTGCCGGCAGCTGCCGATTCCCATGGCGTAGGTGCCTGCCTGCAAAGAAGAAGCTGACAAGGCATACATGTCCATACATGTCATCGCCAGAAGCTCGCACGCGCGGTCACGGCCTTGATGTCGGCGGCCGTTGCAAGTGCCACATCCTTCGTCAGCAGGATTTGTGCCTCGATAAAGGTCGAGGCTGGCTCCAGCACAGAACCGTCTCTCCAGGCCTTCTGAGGACCCGACCCATGCTCTTCCCACAGCAACTCCACCCGCGAAGGAGAACGAGACGCCGTCGGTCTCGGCGGGGCCAAGACTGTGTCGTCGTCTCGTGTTGGGCGAGGGAACGAAGCGCAAAAGCGAACGCCAACGTGAGCTCAATGAAAAGGAGGGCGGAGCATGGAGTAGGAGCAAGTGAGAACATGCAAGCAACTACACGAGTAGAGTGGTCACCGCCGGGGTCCCGGCTGTGGGCGTGCTCGTCAACTCCAGCGACTGGTCCAGCCAGTTGGAGGGCGGCACGCTGAAGGTGATGGCCTTTTCGCGGTTTGAATTGGATATGCTGTGGTTTAGGTTTTCTCCTCTTGAACTTGGCGGTGAAAGGGAAGGACTGCTTGAATTACCCTTCCCGGCCTCGCTCAACATCCCGTCACCGCTGTCGGACATGTCTTCTGCATAGAGGTAGATCTCGGTGCAGTTGTCGCTGCATATCTCTTCCATGAACGGCCTGAACTTCTACCGGAGCCTGGTAGCTGGTGCCTTTGGTGAGGTTGCACCTTTGACAAGCTGCTTCATGAATAAAAGGAAGAGTCGGCACAGAAAGCGCTCGAAGCGCGAAGATTCCAGGGTTCCTGCGAATCGAAGGTGATCGTGTGCTTGCCGCGAGCCTTCGTCTCGTCGACCAGGTGACAGGGACCAGCTGCAGGGCAGACACTTTGAGAACACCCCTCGAATCTCTTATCAACTTCCTGTCGCACACACACACACACATACCTTCCGACACGCACACATACTCACACCATGGAACATCCGGGGGCCTCCGACAGAGATGGCCTAGGTGCAACACTCTGAGATCCACCTCGCCCAGTCGCGGTCCGGTGTAAGGGGCGAGCGGGGCTGTTGTACTTGATCACGTTCATGGTCACGAGACTCGCGTGCCCGGCATTGACCACCCGACCCCAGACCTCGCCGCGTGGCGCAAGGATGAATAAGCATCAGTCCTTCTGTTTCCAGTTCTCATTATCTTTCTCGTTCTCTGTCTCTTTCTCTCTCCCCCTCTCTCTCGCTCTCTCCCTCCCTCCGTCCCGTGCCTTGCCCATTGCGTTAGCCACCTGCCAGACAGACATGCCACAAATTAGCTCCATGGGTTATGTCCTGGGTCCACCTCGTACTCCACAGTGCAGCCGTAAGTTGTGACCTTCGGGAGTCTCCGAACTGCTCAGTGACAAGCATGTGCAGCGCACGCACGTACGAGTGCCAAGAGCATGGCCATGTCATCTACGATCTTGGCCTCGCATCCAAGCAGCAGCGACCAAAGGGTTCGGACCGGGAAGCAGCACCGCAGGAGCTGCGCAGAAGCGTCAGCTGTGGCAGTGGCAGGCGACACGAAGGCGTTGGAGGTCGGGACTTTCACGGCCAGGTTCCTAGGCAAAAGAAAAAAAGAGAGGCCGCCTCCTGGCTCGATAGCTCGGTGCCCGGCATTGTCATGTAGCCGTCCCCAGCGTAGTTGCCGTCCTGAGACCAGCGTGTTCCTCCTGGGCATGCCCTGCAAGGATACGAAAGCGGACCTCTGCATAAGCAACCAGGCGGTGCTCCACCTGAGAGCTGCGCTCACCAGGACGAGCATGTGAACATCTTGACAAAGCCGAGGGCATGGCACCCACTTCCAGGCCGCAGCCGGTCATGTTGATCTCCAACTCTTCCGAGTTGCTCAGCATCGCCTGGAACCGCGTGGCAACTACACACCCGATAGGTTGGCACAGCTTGAGTTTTGGATTCATCCGGCCTCGCCAGAAGAGCAGCCACTGCAACCATTCTTCACGTCCTTGGTCTCACATCCCGGTTCACGCACATCCAGCGTCCGAAATCCTCCCAAAAGTCCTCCCAAGTTGAAACCACCTCTGAACCTCTGCACACTTACCGGCCCCGTCATGAGCTCCAGAAATTCATCCCCGGAAGTGGAGTGTGCACCGGCATGGAGTGGAGAATTCAGCAATCCTGGGGTGTCTTAATCCAGCACGGTGGGCATGCATGTTTTTGATGTGTCCTGCTGTGCCTGTCCCAATCGCGTCTGTACATGAAGCTTGCCTACGGAGAGCGGCCACGTGCCTTACGAAGCAAAAAACTCAAAACGGCATAGATGCATTGTGGTGAGTGGACCACACCTTGCAGGCACATCCTGCAGTGCTCATCCCAATCGTGTCTGTACATGCCTGCGGAGGGCGGCTATGTGTGTATTACATTCCAAACGGCATAAATGCTTTAGGCTGAGTGAGCGACGAAATGCCCGAAAACCCACAAAGGTCCTGAAAAACCTCACAACTTCTCGGACTCGACCCTCCGAACCCCCTAAGACCTAACCCGGAACCCCTAACCTACGGCCGCCCTGGCGCCCAAAGTTGGGGGGCCGGGCTTGCACCGTCAGGTCGCTGGCGTTCTCGGCCCGCACCAAACAAGCCCAGGCCCGGCCTCTCAGAGAAAAGCAAACGCCGTAGCGCCTACTTCTCAAGATTATTTTGGGAAACGAGAGGTTAAGCTTTGAGAGTATATCGGGGTGTGTATATATACATATATATATATATATAGATAGGAGATACTGCACCCTAGATAGGCGAAAGGTTACCTGCTCTACTTCTAGCTTATACTCTCCTCTGCTGCGCTCTGCTCAGAGCTCTGCTATACTCGACTGCACCAGACCAGACTATTCGATACTATATTCCGTGAGGCTATGTCAATGTACTTTACTATGGAATGCTGATTTACAATATACTCTCTGAGGGCTGGGGTGATTTCAAGGTAGCTCTGGGGGGCCTGTTTGGGGCCTTCGAAGGCGGTGCTTGCTTTGGAATTTTGAAACCGAAGGATCTTGGGAAATGTGGGTGACGGCCCCAAGAGCAGAAAGGAGGACCAGTGAGCTCTGGGACTCTAGGCACGATCGATGCATGATTCCTGCCAGAGCACCGAAAATGCACTTGCGGGGACGTGCCTGTGGAGGCCGTGCCCATGAAGCTGGCTTTCACTATGTCCGGCGTGGGCACCTCGCGTGCACGAGTGCTACAAGGCCGAAGGCCCGAAGGCTACGCCGGCTACGCATCCAGCAGGCAAGGACGTGCAAAGTGGGACATTCAAAATCAAAATGCAAGGCTCGCAGTCATATGCGGCAATTATGTGCATGACCAAGCCCATGCCAATCAGCCTACACATGTGGTTCTGGGCATGCACCCCTACACGCTCGGGGATGGACGTCATCACGGTTTGGGCATGGATGCTCTGGTGACCATGTGCGCTCGAGATGTAATCATGGCTTTGACATGCGTGACCCCTCGGTTCGTACATCCCGTGGCCCTATGCACTGTGGCATTGACGCAATGATGTTTTTTAAAGTTTGGGTGTGGAATCGGTGCACATAGGCTTTCACGGCGACCAAGCTCCAGTGACTAGACGCTGAGCGAAGGTCAGGCGGGAGTCGGCCCAAAGGGTGCTTGGGAGAGCGCCGCATGCGCCCTGCGGCGCCACATTCTACTAGTAGCCTCCAGCGCCGTCGCAAAACGCGGGGTGGCTTGTCGTCTGTCGCGTGCCAGAGCATACACGTCACAGTACATCTACTACCTTTGCAGTTTTTGCGCACGTGTGGGGAGGCGGCCTCCGTTAAGTAGGGCAGCACGGCAAAGTCGTTGGAGGGCCTCGGCAAGACCCGAGATGCCCAGGGGATCATGCACAAGCGAGGGCTTTATTTTGATGAATCTTCAACCTCCACGTGGGTGCCCGGCGTAATTTGAAGTGGCACCGGAGGAGAGAGAGCGCCATCGTGGCCCGCGGCCTGGTTCGTCACGTAGACGAGAACGGCGTAGCTCCAACCTTCCAGGGCCAGGGGCAGTGGTTGCTGGGCTCCGAAGTTGCGTCGTTTAAGCCGGGACCCCGGCTGGCTATGAAGCTGCAGCCAGTGACAGCAAGCACGTGGCTTCCGGAGCTCGGCAGCGCCACACCCAGGCTGGAGCCTCGCTTCAAGCTGTGGCTTCAGCTGGTGAGGGCCTTCTCTTTTCTCAGAGAGCGCCCGACAGATGGCGCTGTAGCCGCTGGTGACGGTCATCGCCGTCGCCGACCTGAGCTCAGGCTTGGCCCGATTAGTGCCCGCGTTTCGTGTGTCCGTCCTGGGCCGCTGACGCTGCCTCGGCGGCTGGGATGGCGATCACCCAAGCGACGCCCTCAGTCGCCACCTCAGACTGTCTCAAGACGCACGCAGAGTCCTCGTCGGGAGAGGCTCCAAGGGCACGGGCAGAGAAGCCGACACTGAAGCCAGAGGTCGTGAGAGCGCCGGAGAGCTGCGGCACCTCATCGCTCTGACAGAAGCGGATCTCGGGGTGATTCCTCGTCCTGCTCCGCGCCTCTGTGAAGTAGTTGGACTCGCCCGGAACCACCGTCGCCGGCAGGCCTGCCGACCTCTTTCCGACTTCCACGGCCGAGGCTCTCTTCGACGAGGCTGTCTCTGAGGCTCCGGCAGCGTGCCGTCGGTCAAAGCCAAAGAGTCGCTGACGTAGACGTAGACCTCTCAGCACCCGGCGACGCTGGGCCCTCGGTCGGAGACTCGGTCGGGCCTTGTAGCTCTCAGAATGGGTCAGCGCGCAGCTTGACAGCTCCTCGCTCTGCTCGCCACCCGAAACCTAAAGAGCGCAGCAGCCCCGAAGGTGCAGAGAGCAGAGTGCTCTCTGCTTTGCTCCCCTCTCTCCCTTTCCCCGCTCTTTCTTATTCCCTTTCTCCTTTCTGGGCCCGGCACCATCATCATCTTGCTGCACATGAGGTCGCTTGAAAGCCCAGACCGCCTCAAGAGACGGCGCAGCCAGAGCTTTGGAACCTGACCCTCAGCCTAAGCCAAGGCATGACCGTGTCAGCACACCAAACTCTGCCTGAAAAAGTGCGCAACCTCTTTGCGCACGAACCTTCAAACATATATATATATATATATACATACATACATATATATATATATATATATAGATTAATATATATATATATATATAAGAAGAATATATAAGAAGAAAAAGAAGAAGAAACTAATAAAGCACGATGTAACTCGCTCTGATGGTTTAGCCCCTGGAGTGGCCAGAAACTCAGAGTCTGAGCCAATGACAGCGACACGACGTCCACGAAGGCTGGCGCCGTGTCCTTCAGCAGGTAGACGTTGCCTGAGCCACAGGCGCGGATGGGGCTTCACAAGACTAGAGGACAATGGGGTTCGCGGCTCAAGGTCTACAGGGTCTCAGGACTAGCTTTGGGTGTCGAGTTTGAATCGAAAGTCGTGGAACATGCGCTTTGCTCAGACTGGTATGCGCCATCTCGAAAGGATGCCCGAGGCACTGAAGAAAGAGCAGCCCGCAATCTGCTAGCATAAGAGAAGCATGAGCAACTCCTGCCTTTCCCGGCGGCTTGCGCCGAGAACGTCACCCAAACCCCGGCAGCAGTCATGGAGCCTCGCAAGATCAGATTTGGGAAAGGCTCGCTTCGATGGAGACTTGCCGACTGAGCGGCTGGAGATGCGCGGTGCCATCGTGAAGCTGTTCCTTGAGTGCCCAAGCTTTAGCCCAGGCCCAGGAGCTCTCAGGATACTCTCAACGCTCAGCTCAGGCAAGGCTCGAAACAGGAATCGCTCCCACCACGGAGCCAGAGAGCACCTCTTGCAGTCAGCAAGGCACGCAGAACGGACGTACTGATTCGGCTCACCGTCAGCTCTCCGTCATTGCGATCGTTGCGATCCTCCGAGAGGATTCGGAGAATGGGGAGAAGGCGGTGCACTACAGCCACTACGCCGTTCTGCACGTCTCCTCCACGAGGATTGCAACCTGATATTCCACACCTGGCAAAGGAGGACGACGCAGGAGGGCGACGGCGCTTCTCCGTCTGAACCTACAAAACCAGCCTCCAACCAGCTCGCACATGGTTGCCGACAGCTCCGCATTGGATGAAGAATCGACCTCCCAGGAACTCGATGAGCGACTCCGGCAGCCAAACAAGTGAACTCAATGCATGGCCCAGCAGTTCGAGGAAACACAAGCATGATGGCCGCGCAAGTGAGAGTGCACCCCACAACCATACCCGCACCACTTTTCAAGCCATGCATCAACCATCCTTGCACACTCTGCGCACCCCCGTCTCCCCGGCTTGAAATCCACCGTGCACGCAAATCAATCTGAATGCTCAAGACCTCGAATTGAATCATAGAATGCGAGGATGCATAGGACTAAAGGCATTCCACTTTGATGGCTTAGGCTTATAGTTCATGCAACGCATGCAACACGTACGAACACTTGCGTGGGCTCAATTCAAGACATAGATGGGCATAGGGCAAGTTCAGAAAGTCAGAAAGGCAGGTCGCGCGAATCGACGAGCACGGTTTAAAGCCCAAAGAAAGAACGTAGAAAAGCACGGTAAATCTTGCAAGGAATCAAGTCCAGAATCACACAAGCCTGGACGGCAGCCACGCCGCAAAGGGCATTGCTCACGTTTCTCCTGAGGATAAAGCCGCCTGCCCGCTCGTCACTCCTGCAGACCCCTCAGGAGCCCACGCGGCAGCGACGTCAACCACGGTGGCTGCTGGATACACCGTCAACCAGGCGTGCCCTGATCGCAAAGTCCCGAAGTGACGCGAGCATGCTCTTAAGGCCTTAAGGAGGTCGGCACCTAAAGCCGCGGTGGTGTTGATTTCCACGGTAACCGTGGAGCCACTGACGAAGGTCACTTGCGCAGGGTCGGCAAGGCCTCCGAGGCAATTCAGAGTCAAGATCTCGGAGCTGTCAGAAGCGATTTGTCATGCGATCTCTGGTGGGCTGAGGCCCCTACGATTGGAGAACGGGATGCTGAGGAGCATCGGGCCGAAGAGCGTGCCATCCGTGGCCGCGGCACCCGTGGGCCTGGAAATGACGAATCCTTTCCGAAAGGCTCTGAACCGAAGGTACGTGCCGCGAGGACTCTCTTTCGAGCTCGTATTGAGCCGGTGGCCAGACCGCCCCGGGCATGTCATCCGCATACGCCCAGAGCTCGTAGTCGGTTCCTGGTAGCTGGATCCCCTAGAGCGACTGGAACAGATCTTCGGGCTGTGCTGCCATCTGGTGCGCCATGACATTCCGTGCGCCGAACTGCGGGTAGCCACATGCGCAGCCGGCTTATACATACAACTCACAACCGGGCCCTTTTTCTCCGCTTTCGTGAGGGCTCAGGGCTCGGTGAGAAGGGTAATCGAAGGGCCAGGCGCTTGACGCGGACAGAACGGGGCGCTATAAGGAAGCCCTCAGCCCTCACTTCTTTAAGACCTGTACTAAAGTGGGGGTGGCTTCAAGCATCTTCATGTACTCCGCCTCCTTTTGTTGCTCCAGAGCCTCGAGCTGCTTCAGCTCCATGGCCTCCCGCGAAGAGAGAACATGAGAGGAGACCTCCTGTCCTCGAACCTCCTGAAAGTCTTAGCCGCCTTAGCCTCTCAGCCCGAATTCGAAGGAGGGAGGTGTTCTGGCCTTCTGCGGAAGCTGTGCCTGGAGCTCCCGGGCACGGTTCGCGGAGGCCGCCAGGTCCGCCTCCACTTGGGCCTTCTCAGCGGCGAGCTTGGAAAGCTCAGCCTCCAGAGTCTCCGTCTGCTCCGTCATCTGCCGGATGGCCTTACTGGTACTACTAGCGCTTTTTTTTCTCTCGAAGCGACAAAGCGACTTCTTGGGGTTTCTTTTTGGGTTTGTGGCCTCGTGGAGCGTCTTGGCCTTCTGCACTTGCGCATCCTTCTGCGACATGGCTCCTATCGCCTGCCGTGAGATCTACGTCTGGAGCCAACGGCGGCGGTGCGTCCAAAGCGGCGCCACGAGGCAGCGCAGAGGGCGACGCCAACGCCTTTCCCTCCCTCCTGCACCCGGTCCTCCCAGCAGTCCACAGCCCGTGAAGCTTTGGGTCTGGGCGCACAAGCATTGGCTTCCGGCGCGTCGGGACTCTGCGCTTTCGAAGCTCGCCGCGAGCCTGCAGCGTCGTTGCCGCCACCACGACCGCAACCTCTGGCAGAAAGCCTGGGACCGCAAAAAGGCCGAGAGAAGCCAACAAGGAGAGCCAAGGATGCCGAGGCACTGCAGGTCGTGTCGCCCATGGCATCTGTGCCCGCGAGCAAGGAGGCCACGCCTTAGTTTATGAACGCGAAGACGCGCGCAGGGGCGTGGCGGCACGTGAAGGACTCCTAGGCTCGGGCTGACCATCGCCCCTTGCGCAGTGACGATGGCATGGAACCGGCCAGCGATGGCCTCGGAACTGGGCACTTGGCCAGGTCCCGGCACTGGGCTTGGGGCCCGGGCGAGGCGATAAGTCACATCGAAGCCGCCGCCCGTGAGCGCCGAGACCAGCTTGGGGCTCTCCTCGCTACTCGAGCGCGAGACTTTGCAGAGACAAGTCGGACTCGGTTTTTTACTTGTCCTGGAAGGAGTTTGGGGCGGTGGCCGGGACCACCTCAGCGCGGCACACAGGAAGGAAGGGAAGCGAAGTTTCATCTTCGATGTCTTGCTCCGCACTTGGGTTCCCGGACATTGGCCATGACCGTCGCCACGGTGCCGTCATTGTTGCCCTTGTCATCCTGCGAGCCCGTAGCCGTCTACACATCTCTAAGAGCGCGGGGGGTGGCCCGGCGGTCCTCCACGTAGACGTGGAGCGTGTAGCTCTGCCCCGCCGTGAGTGTGCAGCCCGGTGGCGTGGCCGTGAAGTTGCCGATCTCGAATTCCATCCCTTGGAAGACGTCCGCACCCTGCACGTTGCAGGTGGCGCCCCCAGAGGCCATGTGCAGGGCCTGAGCCAGGGAGTGTCTCGGCACCGGCTTGGCTTCTCGCAGGTTCCAGGTCCAGCCATTCAAGCCTTGATCTCCGCAGGCGTGCGGGAGGCTGTGCTGGAGGTGAGCATCACCTCAAAATGACAGTCTCGGGAAAAAATGTCATAACGAGCGAGTGACTCTCCGGGTGCCAAGCCCAGACTTTGCCGTCATAGGCTGGGGCGAAGGAGTGGCTAATGCTTGTCGGGAAAGGCGTCCTGGCCGAGCGACTTCGGTCTTAACCGCTCCATGCTTCGACTGTCACATCGCGAGGCAGCCTGAGCTCATATGGCATGATCTGGAACATGTTGGACGCAGGGAGCACCACATCCACAGCCCCGGAGAGGCTGCCGTCGCCCAGGCCACTGCCATCCTCACGTCACGTCAACAAGTGAAGATCAGCCCACGTATGGCTCAAAAAGAGCCTCCACGTAGACGAAGGCTTTGTAGGTTGCGGCCATGACCTGAATACTCTCATGCTTGGCCAAAACCCTCCTTCTTCTCTCATTTTGAGGGGCAGGGCCAGGGAGCAGCCAGTGAATGACATGGTCTCCATAGCCCCCGCGGTGATCGCCTCAGTCGGACCGATTCCAGGGGGGATCTCTGAGCAGAGTCCGGCCTGATCCGCCACCAAGCAGACGCCACCATAGGCACCTCTGGCACTCAGAGCTGCGAAGCTGGCCGCAGTGCCCCCGGGATCCGGCCTGTGCCAGCTTTGATGGTGGCCACGTTCACCGAGGCCACGTTCGCTGCTTCGACCTGCCCGGAATCGCATCAATCACATGATTCGATGACGTCACCCATCGTGTCACTGCGCAGTCTGAAAGCGAGGCAGGTGAACCACGACGCCCCAGGCTTTCCCGTTCTGTTGCACGGTGAAGTGGATGTCCACACCTCGAGAGTTCCACGAGAAGCACAAAGCTCTCCTTTCATCATGTGCCATGGTGAATCGGTTAGTGGCAGCAAGCACGGAAAATCGAGCAAGGCCTTCCGACGTCGCATTCGACGCCTGCAGGTCCTGGCACGTCAAACGTCGGAGAAGGCTTTAACTTTGAAGCTGGACCACGCCGCCAAGCCGGGGCTGGGGCGGAGGTGAAGCTGTTGGAGGTCGGCACCTGGGTCGTGCACAGCACTGGCACTCTCTGAAGGCTCTGCTCTGCAGTGCTCTCCGCTCTCAACCCCCACTCCGGTAGCTCAAAGTCAAAAGATCAACCAGTGCATTTCTCTCGGTCTCCCGTGGCCAGGGGTCGTTCTCGTCATGATGTGATTTTGCGACTCATCATTGCCATACATCGCCATCGTCCTAAAGCTATGAAGCTCAGCGTCGGGCAGTGAAGGGCACCGGCGCCGCCAGAGTTCCGGTGTTCCCGGAGGACTCGACATAGACCACCAGATGATACCTTGGAGTAGAGACAGCCGGGATCGTCGCATTTGATCGTCGCACTGACTCGCACCGTGGATCCGCTCGGGCTCCCGCTCGATCCCCCGCTCCAGGCTGCAGCCCTCGGCCCCTGCGGTCAGAAGCGCCAGAAGCGAGAGAGAGCGCTGCCGGCCCGTGCTGCAGCGGCCTGTGAGGGTCTCCGACAGTGCGCCGGTGGAAATGGCCTCAGACGCTCCCAAAACCTCTCTGTCCGCCCCGCATCAAGCCCTTCGCTTTGCCTTGCCGGAGACGCCACAGATCATCCCCGTCGCGAGCTGCAGGGGAGCGAGCGGAGTCCAAAGGAGTGAACCACAAAAAGGTGCACAGCTGGGCCTTCACAGAGACGAGGTCAAGGGCTGCAGCAGCCGCAGGCGTGCCGATGGAGGCCCAGATCAAGCCTCCCCAAGCTGCGGGCTTCGCTTCGGGGGAGATCTGCTTCAGAACACAGATGCTCTGGTTTCCGGGCCGATCGTGGCTCCGGCGTCGTGGGCCACCGTGTAGTCGAAGCTCACGTCCGTGTTGGTCGGCCTCAGAAATCAGCCCGCTTCCGCTGCGCCAAGCGACATGCGACTTGCTTTCCTGGGCTCCCAGCGTGCCGCTGATGCTCGGCCCACTCACAAAAGTGCTGGAGCCTGGGACCTGACAGCACGGAGCAGAGAGCGAGCGGAGCGCATGCTCGGCTTAGCATCGGCGCACCGGCACCGCCAGCATGGACAAAGTGCCATCCCCCATGAGGTTCTCATCCTCGACATAGACCTGCACCAGTGCTGTGTGGAAGCTAGTGCGAAGAAGCTGAACCTTGCTCGAGAAGTGAGCGCCGCGCGAAGAGCTTCAGGTTCGTGCTGTATGGCCTCAGGTGCAGCTGCAGTCTTTCCGCCCCTAGATGCAGACCTTATCAGAGATCCGATCCCTCTTTCCTTTAAGTCGAAGCGCTCCGCTTCTGGTAACGGCCCTCTCGAAACTGATGGGAAAGAGCTCTGGGGTCCCGTCCCTCTTGGGAACTGGGGGCCTATCTCCACGCAGCTCTTAGAGCCGCAATGATCAGAGGAGCCTACCACTTCGGCCTTGCGAAGCAGCATCCAATATCCAATGCACCCTTTAAGGCACTATGTTTAAGGGGTCTCAGACTTCATCCTTGTCATCGTGCATGCCCTCTTCTTCCTGCCAACGCCAAGCATCCGATTTCGACTCCAGAATGCTCCAGAAGGGTCCTCCATGGCTGTCAGCTTGCTGAAGAGCGTCGGCAGCTCCTCCGCAGAAGTCCGCTCCAAGGTGACACTTCGTGCAATCTGCATGTAAGCCCCAGATAGATCATCGCCTTGGACATATACATGTCTGGCAGTCCTCGCGATTGATGAGGCCGTCGCCGTCGGAATCGCATTCCTCGGGAGACTGGAAGATGAAAAGCCGCTGCACTACTCCGTTTGCGGGTCCTTGTATACCGCTTGGTACTTCTCCTTGATGTCTGCGGGCATGCCCTCCTGGGAACTGGCAAGCGGAAAGAGAGGCATCACGCCTACCCACACTCTCTAGGACCCTGGTGCTGTCCTCTCCATCTGGGACATCCGCATCACCTCAGCTTCCGGGAAACGACCCCTCAAGCCCCAGAGCAGACTTGGCACGCCGGCTTCCGAACATCTCCTCCCACGAGATCTTGCCATCCTGGCAAGAAACTGGGACCGGACCCACAGACCGCAAATGCGATCAAATGCAGGGGCCTTGTTCTCGTCGATCTCACCCAGCAGCTCATCGAAATCCGGCGGGGCATCTGCATGGGCTTTTCTATTCTTCCCGACATCCTTTGGGATTCCTGGCTACTTGTGCCGCCGCCTGGGTCCTCATCATCCTCCTTTCGATGCAAGCTGATGGCTTCTAAACGGATCGCCGCAGCCAGCGGCTGTGGAGGTTTCAAGAGCAAAAGAGAGAAGTCATGGGACCTGGGCGACCACCGCTGCCGGCAGCAGCATTAGCACAGCAAGCGTCCGCCTGAAAGCTCCCGAAACGCTATAAAGCAATTAAGGTCTTTGAAAACTCGAGAGAACTGGGCAACTTCTGAGCCCCCTTTGTACGGCCGGGCCGCAGGAGCTTCATCCTCAAGGACGTCGAGAAAATTGGAAGTTCGCTGGGCAAAAAGACTCGGAGAGGTCCTTCCAAAATCGCTGAACCGCCAGGAGCTTGGATCTTTCTAACTCTTGAGCCGTGACAGGCCACCGGCAGCTTTGAAGGCATCCGTGCATGTCCTTTGCCTTGGCCCTCTGGGTAGCAGGCAAAGCACAGCCTGTGAGGGACAGCGTCATCAAGGTCATTCCGGAGATGGCCTGGCGTTCCACCGTTCCACCCCCAAAGCGCTTCAGCCCTGGTACGTTTCGGAGAGCCTCCTGGCTCTTGCGGCACGTCAGCGCTCCGTACCTCACGGGCACCCCGTGTCTTCCTCACTATGCTTATTCCCAGTATGGATGGGTAGATAGATCGAGAGATCGAAAGATATATAGATGGCTTTATCCATCCACCCATCTACCCTCACACCATACGCGCTGTGTAACATTTCATACGTGGTATACACACCGAAGCCAGGTCGGGCTCTGAGTGTCCAACGCCCACATGTTGGCGGCTTTCGCCGTGGACACTGTCACAAGGGCGGCATTCGCCTGAAGAAAGGCTCTAGAAGCCACAGCCACGGCCCCTGAGCCCCTTTGTGCCCGCGGATGGGCCTCGCTCACGACCGCTGCCCAAAGATTTCCTGCCTTGCTGGCCTCAGGTTCATCACCCCATGGCACCCCTCATGCGTTCTGCGGCTCGGCTGCGGAGTTCGCGTCCCGCCTGGAAGGTGGCACTCAAGCCTGATTTCAATTAACCAGCGGCTCTCTCGATGCCCATTCGATATATAGAAAATATGTATGACGACATACATACTCCAGAGTATACGGTGTAAATCCGCTAGCCGCTCCGGCTCGCTTCGCTCTCAGGCCCTGGCCAGCGGTGCTTGGCGTGCCAAGAAGCATCGGGGCAGTGGCGAAGTCGTTAGAGGCAGGGGAGCGGAAGGGTGCTGCTGCCAAGGCACCTGGCCGCAAATGGGGGGGGGGTCCGCTTCTCCCTGTAGACCCCTCAAACGACTCGAACTGCCAAGAGGAGCCCCCACCCCCTCGGCTTTCGTTCGCGAGACTGTCCAGTGGACTCAGCCCGCAGGTGAGACGTAGACACCACTGCTGGCCAATGCCTTTGGGGCGTGTTGCCTCTCCAACTCCGCTTCCACCCGTCTTGCGGCCTCGAAACTCGCAGCGCCCGTTCTGGAGTGCTTCGCAGCCTTGGCACTCGGTGCGAAGTCCTGCTTCTCGATCCTTTGCTGCAGCTCATGGACTGTCTCCTTGGGTGAGAAGACCACGACCTGCCAGAGCTCGTCGTCGTCGCGCCAGCGAACTCGCTTGGATCCTCGAGAAACATCAGCTCCATCACCCTCACCGCCCTCACCGCCCTCGCCCTCGACCTCGCCCTCGCTGTCGTCTAGGGAGCCGTCCACCAACTCCACGGACACGCTCTTCCCGTTTAAGAGCTGACCGTTGAGCGTCGACACTGCCAACGATGATTGCTCCGATGAAGGAAGCCTCGGAACACTGAAGGAAAAGTGAGAAGCAAGCAGCTATTGCAAGATCAACTAAGCAAGCCAGCTCCGTTGATGGCAAGGAACACCACAAATGCAGTGCCACATGGCCGCTTCCGTCGGCTCTCGCGCGGAAGGTCCACTTTCTCAGCTGTCAGCTGGACGTCAGCGAAGAAATCCACGATGTCTTTCTCAGTCGTGAGCTCGGTAAGGTTTGAAATGGTCACCTGGTTCGCTCCGGAAGGCTCGGCCTACTCTCAACCTTTTGTCTCAAGGCTTAGAGGCTTCAGAACGCGAGCTTAAAGAGACACAAAAGAGTCACTAGAATGAAGTCCCTACAGGCCAAGCAACGGTGCGGCCTGTGGCATCGCTGCTGTCCTGTGCTTGCAGAGAGCTGCGCGCATTCTTCAGATTGCGCCCGATGTAGGCGAGGCTGTCTACATTCATGTTTGCAAAGACGGATGGATGCTTCTTCAGAAACTCAAGCATGCTCGGATTCTCCATCAAGACCAAAGCGATGCGACGATCGAGGTTCCTCAGTTCCGGTGGGATGTCCTCCGGCCGAGCCGCCGGCAGCTGGCTCAGTGGCGGGGTCCTCGGCGCCGGCACCTCGGTGGCCTGCGAGTCCCAGCTCTCTTGGACTTCGGTGACGGGAAGAGGCACCCCTGGCGCGGCCGGCACCGCGGGCGGCACCGCGGGCGGCACCGCGGGGGCGGGCCCGGGAACTTCCGGCGCCCAGGTCTCGTGTCCTGGAATCTTTCGATTCGGCGTCGGGAGCTCCTCTGGAAGCTTCGGAAGGAAGCCGGCGGACCTCCATCGGGCCAGGACGGCTTCGGCTTGCTTTGAGTTCTCCTCCTCGTCCTTCGCAAAGATCTCTTTCACAGAATCGATCAGTTTGGATTTCTGAAGATTCTGTAGAGCTACAGGAAGCCTCTGCAGAACGAGGAGACAGGTATATCGTGCTTCAGGGTTCTTTCGCAGCCACTTCTCCAAGATCTCCAGGCCGCCGTCCTTGACAAATTGGTGCATGCAATGTTTAGGCGACTGGTTTAAAGCCGCGAGGGTGCCCAGTCGGGCGTCTGCCGTGCCGGCAGTGCGCATCGCTTCCAAGAGACCTTTGGCGTCCTGCGGACTTGACATTTTCTTCACTGGCGGCACCGACGCACTCGCAGTCGCCCCGTCTTTCGGGCCGGAGCTTTTCGCAGCCCCGGTCGCCCCGTCTTGGGAGGAAAGACTCTTTTCGCCGCCTTGGCCTGGGCCTGGGCCCGCAGACGTCGCCGCAGACGTGGCCGCAGACGTGGCCGCAGACGTGGCCGCAGACGTGGCCGACGTGTTCGTTCCGGCCGAGGCCTTGGCCGTGGCCTTGGTGTTGTCTTTCCGCGTCTTCCTCCGGTCGGTTTTGTTCTTCTGCCCCTGCCCTGCGTTTACACGAGGAGTGGACTTTTCCACCTCTTCCTTCTGCTTTGCGAAGCTCACGCGCCAGGCGGACACCAGCTGCCGTGCCTTCATGCTGGCATCACTTTGCATGAACCGCTTTGCGAACTCGTTCACGATCTTCCCGACCTGCGTCTGCGTCAGAATCTCAACGGTGATGTGCAGCTTCTCGAGGCGATTCAGAGGAACCAGTCCTTCGTGCGCCTCCAAATCCTCTCGGTGCAGCAGCTGGGCCCAAGCCGCGACTTCGTCGACGCCAGATAAAGGCTGCAGATTCGCCGGCTGCACGCTTTTGATCTGTCCTGATTCCACAAGCTTCACCTCATATCTCTGAGTGCTGGGGTTGAATTTGTGAATGTAGCAGGCCTTCTCGTTCAGGTGAGATGCGGCTTTCAGGCCTACAATCTTCAAGGGCACGTCGAGATCAAAGTCCTCATCTAGAACAATTGCGGCACGACTGGCTCTGGGAACCTCCATCGCTTGGCCATGGAGCGACGGAGAAGTCTATCTCAGAATCCCCACCCATCCATGTGTCGAACGCGGTAAGCTGTAAGCTGGAATCATGAAAGCTTGTCCATGCATCGCAAAGGCAAATACTACTAGCACTCTGAAGCTCCATTGCTTATGCTGCAGATGTGTTCTCCCAACTTGCCCCCTTAGCATCCAAGACTACTAATCCGCACTCCTGGACCACACAAGTCAGAGATGCATGTATATCCAGGTCTGTAATGCGCACGTTTACGAAAGAATGCATGTAGGTAAGTTGGTCTGTCGGTGGGTGGTCGGTCCGTCGGTCCCTGTGCCGGCTGGCCGGCTGGCCGGCCCCCGCGGATAGTCGGCCGGTAGGTCGCTATGCTCGCATGTAGATATGCATGCATATGCATGCATCAGTGTCGCGTGTATCTATCTATGTATGTATGTATGTATGTATGTATGTATGTATGTATGTACGTGTGTACGTACGTACGTATGTGAAAGCATAGATTAATAAATCAATTAATACATTTACATAAGCAAACATAAATATATATATATATATACACACACACTGTACACATCTACGTCTATATAATATAGACTATAGATATATGTATATGCATGTGTGTACGTGTGTATATATATATATATATATTTTTGTTTTTCGTAGGCAGGTAGGTAAGCAGGCAGGCAGGCAGGTAGGTAGGTCGTATGCGTCTGTCTGTGTCTGTACGTGTATGTCTATGTCAAGGGAGTCGTCCAAAAATATCTTTCTACTGGTCGGCCGCAGGGAGTCAGGGAGTGTTTGACTTTGAGATCATCAGGATAGCTCTTCCAGCAGGGTGCAGACAGATCTCAGCATGCAACAGGTAAGTCTAAGTCTGGCCGGCGGAGTTCCAACAAGAGCTTTTTGATTTTGAGACCTCTCGTGTCGCAGGCTCATGGGCTCTTTCTCGAGCCGCAGGCTCAGGTATTCCACCGACTCTCCATCGGCGGGGCAGAGGAGGACCCTGCAGCGATCGTCCTCAAAGCGAACCTTCTTGGAGATGGAGGTCCCAAAGCCTTCGGCTAAACTGGCGAATTCTTTTTCTCTCTCAACCCTTGTGCTTTCAAAAGCCACCTACATTGACAGGTAAATCCTGAACCCTGAGCCGAGCCCTCAACCAAGGAGCCCATCACCTCAGCATGGAATCGCTTGGAAGCCACCGATCCTTCGCCGTCCGAAGGCCGGCACCGATCGTGGAGGCAGCGGGCGGCAAGGCGCGCTTCCCGTTCGGAGCCCAGCCTCGCAGGGAAGGCTCGGAGGCTCGGAGGCTCCCCTTCTCTGCTCTACGTCTACGACGGTCTACGAGTCACTGCTACTCTGATGCTTCAGGGCTCCTGATGTAGACCGTGGAGCAGGGCTTGGAATAGTGGCTCTCCCGTGGCAGCTCCACCCCCTGCTTGCACTCCTTCAGGTTCCATTCCCGCAGCTTTTGAAGGAGCCACTGGACATCGTCTTCTGCATCTTCGCCCAGGCCAGTGACCTTCACCTCTACACCAAGCATCACAAAAAGAAGGCCAAAGCCCCCCCCCCAAAAGAAAACAAAGGCCCCTGCCCTGCGGTGCTGTCGGGGAGCCGTCCGATTCGCTGCATCTGGAGCCTCCACGGCCTTGGAGGCGGAGAGTCTCGCTTTCTCCAGGCGCACCAGGAGCGCCACCGAGCGCGAGTTCAGGTTGTGCAGGTAACCGGACTGGGCCTCATGAGCAGCTCTCCCTCTCACTGCGGTCCCTACTGGTAGCCCCTTGTTGGGAAAGTGGTGCCAGGGCTCAATGCTCTATTTCTTCGATTTTTGCACTGCCTTCAGGAACTTCAGCAGCAGGGGTCGGCTTTGCAAGAACTCCGCGATGCGCGGATGCAGCTGCTGCAGCTCGGGGTCTTCCTTCTCGGTGCGCCCGCCCAGCTCGCCTCTGCTACTCGGCGTCTTGGAGGCTGGGACCGAGAAGAGACCTGAGAGAGGGCGCCGGATCACCCCGTACACTGCACCTAGAGATCGAGTCCCTGTGCCCAGCTCTTCTAGTCTGCAAAGTCCCTTTTCACACGACTTGGGTCCCTTGCCTTGAGTCTGCCATTGTGCCAGGAGCTCGCTGGATTCTTCGCTTTGCCCTTCGCTACCAAGGGCTTCCAGGGCGTCTCGAAGCTTCGCCTTCTTCAAGTCCGCTCCTGTCACGGGAAAGCCATCCTTCAGCAAGGAGAGGATGGCTTTCCGTAGCGGTGGATGAAAACGAATCCACTTCTCCAAGATCTCTAGACCTCCGTCGTAGACAAACTGGAGCTTGCAGCTCTGTGGAGCCGCGTGGAGCTTGCTGAGCAGCTGGCTCTGCGTCCCCGGCCCCGCCGCTCGCATCTCCTGCCGGAGGCAAAACCTTCTGTTCAATGCAAGGAAAATGAACAAACCCTAAGCATCCCTAAACCCCCCCCCCCCCTTTTTGAAAACATCCTTTTGATGGCGCCTCCAGGAGCTTCTGAGCATTCGGGGCGGAGAGGGGCGCCATCAAGGAAAGCGCTGGAGGCCCCTCCAAAGCCCCCGCCGCCGCCGCTTTTTTGGCCAAGTGCCGCTCGTGGAAGCCGCACAAAAACTTCCCCGACGTCAGCTTTCGCCGGTTCTTGAACCGGCCCGAGGCATGGGCGACCATGGCTTCAGGGCTTTAAGGGGGAGTGGTGAGCAAGGGTGAGGAGATGGAGGCTGAAAGGGAGTTCTTTGAATGGGTCTAATTAATAATCTTCGCCTCGATGCAATGATGTGCAAAAGTTCCAGGAACAAGCAGGACCCCTCCCTAGAGCATGGCTCCCTTTGCAAGAGGCCGGGGCGACCGTCGTCGTGCATGCCCATGTCCGCCACGTAGACCTTGCAAAACCCACTTGAAGGTCAGCGAGAAGACGAGAGAGAGAGAGAGAGAGTGCGTGTGTGTGTGTGTGTGTGTGTGTGTCTCAGCCCAGCCACGAGCACGGCGTAATCTGACGAGAAGGCCATTGAGCAGTTCTCCAAGTCCACCCTTGGCCAAAACAGAATCCGCGGAAACGCTCGAGTTTTCGGGGGCCCGTGCTGTGTCACGTTGTCGTCAACGTCCATGGCCGCGATCATGCAGTCGGGCCCACCAAGGGCTCCAGTCCCAGACCTCAGGCGCTCCCGCCGCTCCCGCCGCTCCCGCTGACGTGGTGCGGCTGGCATCTTCCTTTGCTGAGGGAAAAGCATCACTGAGCTGGCGGTGGCCGAACCTGATGCAGAGCCTCCTATGCTTTGGGAATGCACGGTGCAATGAGGGCCCCCGGCTCACTGCACTGGCCGGCACCACGACCGCCCAGGCTTTGCCCATCGGGTTGGTCCCCGCAAACTGCACTGTGACCTGTCAGTGCGGTCTAAGAAAACATCCCACACGGACTGCGGACAAAAGTACAAAATGCAGCTTGCCTCCTCCCCTGTAACGTTCCCATCGATCATGGGCAGATACTTGAAGCTGTTCGAGACGCCTCGGCCAAGGGGCTATGGCTATGTCATCTCTTGGACGTCGTTCTTCGGAAATTCCAGTGCCTGGTGGGGTGTAAATCTTAGTGAACACGATCGTGCCATCGGATCGGTTGTCCAAGTCCTGCGCTCACAACTAAGTCTCCTTGCCAGTCGGCGTCTCTCCCGCCTCCACGTAGACCACCAGCTCGTAGGTCGACCCGTGTCGTAGCTGACAGTCTTCCAACATGGCAGAGACCTCCACAAACAAAGAGCCCCCCACCCCCAGCCCGCCCACAGCGGCCCACGGTTTCATCCCTGGCCCTCACCTCGGTGAGCGACACCACCGCCGTGCCTCCCACCGTGCTCTCGCCATCGATGCGGCAGCTGGGACCTGGCACAAGATGGAAAACACCCAGGCCCAGAGCCTTCTCCCAGCGTCCCTTTAAAGGGCCCACAGGGCCGGGCCCGGGCCTCCCATGGCCAGGCTTCCCATCATGGACTTCAGGCTCCAGCGCGTCACCTGTGGGGCCTGGAGCTCCGGGACCACCTGCCACGCAAACATGTCTGGGCCGAAGCCAGTCTCAAAAGGGAAACACAAGGCCGGCAAGACCATGGCCCAGACGTTTCCTGTGCATCTTCAAGTTGACTCTCCCACTTCGTTGATGTGCAGCTGCACAGTTGTGCATGCGCTGCCTGCGACCACTGCGGCAGCACCTTGATCCGTGGCCTGAGGGAGTCCGGGATTGCTTTTCGAAGGCGCCCGCTCAGATGCCGGTGTTCCCATGCCAGGCCTCCGTGGTGAACTTGAAGGCCACACGGCTAGTCAAGACAGACTCCGCCTGGCATTCGCGTCGTCGGGACATTGGTGCAAGCGTGTCACGCATTCTTTCTCGATTTCCAAGAAGCACGGGGCACCAGGAAGGGCTCGGTCTTGAATCGCATGGAAACCACGGGCACCTAAGGCGTGCATCTTTACAAGTTGCGAACTGTGGCGTGCTTCTTGAGGCTCAAGCCAAAACCAAGACAGGCTGCGAAGCTTGTCCATCCGTCTGAGAACAGCGGGTCGCGAGGTGGAGCAGAGACAGCAGAGACCGCAAGGACTGGCTTATTTGAGTGCCGGGCATAGGATGAGTTAAGGCCTTCCACGTAGGCGAAAGCCTGCGAGGGGGCTTTCGATCACGAGCCACACCGTGACTGTTCCGAGCTTGGGGCGGCCCGGCCTTGTATGTCACCCCACGCTGCAACGCACACTGCGAAAGAGCGATCGTCTCGACCCCACCACCTCAAACAAGCGAGGGACCCCCCGCTTCACCGACATTCAAAGATTATATATACATATACATATATACATATATACATATATATATATATATATACATACACAGTCTAAACCACTCGATACCGCTCGGACACTCACTAAGCAACATGGCAGTCGCACAACCTTCTTTCCGAGACCGTGACCTGGGGTGGGCCGCAAAGCGACCGATCAATGGATAGATTGCTCTATCGAACGATTGGACTGATCCCTAAATTCCAACCTACCTAACCGTCAATTCCGGAACTTTAACATACAGCTTACCATATACAATATACAACAAATGTTATATCATGCATACTATAACATTTTTACAACATAGTACCCTAAGCTGAATGTTTTCATATATCATATGAGCGGCTGACTAAACCTAGGGTTCGACGTAAAGCCCGCGAGAACTCAGGTCGGCCCCTATCGGTTA